TATGAGCTGACAATCTGCTGCTTATGACCTGTTCAGGTGTTTTATCCCCTCCCAGTGGAAGCATTCAGAGCAGTGAGGCTGGGGATCACAAAGCCCAGATGGATATGAGGTGCTTTTGGCAGTGGTCGTCAGCCCAATTTTGCTTTAGCTCCATCTGAATTATTTTCTGGGTCTATTTGTAAAGCAGTCACCAGCTATGGGCTACTTGCTGCTTTTGTGGGAAGTTTGTTGCCACCACCTTTGAATGGATGTTGACAAGGACACACCATGCCTTGTGTCAGGATTGCCTAGTGGGAGGCACTCCAAATCCAAGGTGATTCCTCCACACTGAGCGTGATGAAGCCCTTTGAGAGAAGCAATGAGAAATGAAAGGTTCTCTGTTACAGAAACAAAATTACTTTAGAGGAACATACTTAGGGACATGCTGTGAGTGGGCTGCCCCTTCCATGAGGATTAGGGCAGCACTGGGATGGTTTGTGTGCCTGCAAGTGTGAGAGAGGTTGGAGCTTGCTGTCAGACCTCTTCCTGCAGCTGGGGTGGAAGGACAGTGTGCTGGCTGGCAACTACATCCTTTCCTTTTCCACTGCCTGTCCTGCCTCCTGCTTGTCCCAGCCCAGGAAGAGCAGCCTGGTGCACTGGGGCTGTTTGCTCTGTGGCAATTAGCAGTGAGCCCAATGGACACTAGGAATAAAAATAGCAGGGCACAGCTATTCTACCCGTCCCTGCTGTTCTGCTGCCCTGCTTTCCCTCTGTCTTGGGGCAGCAAAAACCCCTGGATGGCTGCCAGCATAAAGTTTTGGCAGCTGCATCAGGTTGACACCAAGTCCTGGCTGGTTTGCAGCTGGAGGTGAGGGGTGAGCAGGACAGGGTGGGATTTGCTTATTTTCTGTTTTTTCATTAGTTGGTTCTCTTGGCTGTTCCTGTGCATATGTAAACATTTCCTCCCTGTGTTCCCTTGCCTTTGTTGTTTCCTCTGGTGAGTTGATGTTGCTGTTATTGAATGATTAATTTTTTTTTTTTTCCTTTTCTTTGTGTTTTCAAACATGAAGTGAGGTGAATTAATGTGTGGGCCGAAAATGCCAAAGGCAAGAAATGTTTCTTTGCCAATCTTCCTTGAAGTCCTCTGCTGCTGGCAGGACTGTTCTTGTACCAAGGAGAGATGGACACACATCAAAGCACATTGGGTTTTGTGCGTGAGGGACGTGGTCAGAGCTGAAGCTTGATTTTTATGTATTTATTGCCTCTCTTGGCCCCTCATTCTGTAATGGCAGTAACTAACGGTCTAGATCTGGCTGCTGGGAGGTGTTCTGGATCCAAACCTCACAGACTTGGCTGCAGCATTAACTGAGGTCACTCTGATGAGGAGTTTGCTGTTCCTCTGCCTCCTTTCCCCCACAGCAGCTCTTGATGCATTAAGCAGACTGTGTTGGAACCAGAACCACGTGTATGATGTAACTGCCCAACACATGTTACAGAACTCTGTGAATCTCATCAGCCAGAAAGTCTGAGTGTGCCCTCTCCAGTGCTGACTGCTATTTTTCCCTTAGCCCTTCCTTGCAGAGATGGGCTTAACTTCTGACACTGGGCACAGAGCCCTCAGACTGTCTCTGAATCTCTGCTAGTGCTTCCTCTCACTTCAGAAAGTGTTTCCATCTGAAGCATAAACCAGTACCTGCAGTTTAAGCCCCAACTAAACCTCTGAGACAATTAGAAAAGAACAGCGATTCACCTCACCCAGCTATTTGATACAATTGATATCATGTGCATTTGTGTGTCATAATAATGGACACAATTGCTTTTCAGTGCAGTGGAATTTCAAATCTTCAGCAAAAATAAGTATTGCATAGAATTTTTTTTTCTATGTAAAAGAAATAGCTGGAGCCTGTTACTAAAAGATAATTCTTGGAGTATTAATATCTAGTATTGATGTATAAACAACCTTTCAACCATGTAAAAGTATCTTTATCTGAAAACTCAATTTTTTTTTTCTCTACTTTTTTGCTTTTAAATTCTATCCTGGAAAATTTTTAGGGTTTTGTTTTGTTTGGGGTTTTTTGTTTGTTTGTTTTCTCCTCATGTGTTACAACAATGTGTTGTGGAAAGAAGACCATGGGCTTGTGCATAGCTTGTAGCTCTGCACAGAGATGATGGGGGATTATATTATATATATGTAATATTGTATATGAGATAATATTCCATTGGTTTTGAAAGCACCAAGTTATTAAGGCTGCTGTGGCCTGGCACATGTGTGGTGACAAGCCATCCTGTGCTCTGAAAAGCAGGAGGTGCTGCACAGGACAGGGCTATGAGCAATAAAAGCATTTTTAAGAGCTGTCTTCATTACTTGGGGTGACAGTCTGCTGCTCACTTTTATAGGTGCTTAATTGAAAGGTATGATCTGAACAGCTTTATGTTAAAAGTAATCTATCTCTTTAGTCCTTGGGAAGCTGTAGGTTACGAGTGAAACTTTTTCTTCTCTTGACTTCAGAAGTACAGTCAATCCTATATTTCCTGCTAGATTTTTTTTTCCTCCTACTTTCTACCCTTTTGCCCACAGCAATTTGTAATTGAGTCTAGCAGGGAACTTAGGCATATTAGAGGTTCCTCTCTTAAAACTGGACCTAGCAATCAGATAATTGGTTTCCTTCAGCAAATGCAAGGCTACAGAACCTGAGTGGTTTGGGTTTTTTTTTTTTGTGGTAATAAATGCTATGTGGTTATGTTCAACTAGTTCTTTATAGCCTGTCCCTAAGACTGTGTCAGTTAATCTCTTAAAATAATATAGATTCCATCACAAGAGTGAGGCTTGTGAGGTCAGAAGCTCTTTCCATCAGAACCTTCAGAACCTGAGTGATACAAACTCAGATTTAACAACTGAAGTTCAGAAAACTTAAGAAGCCAATGAAACAGGGGAGAAATTAATTGAAGATTAGGCTGCAGCAGCCTGCCATCAAAATCTGAGCCTCTAATGTATAACATGTGTTCCTGCTTTCATTTGTCTGCTTTACAAGAGCTAATACACAGTGTTTTCAGGGTTCACAAGGGGGCTTTTTTTCCCTCTAGGCTATTAGCTCCAGCAATGACTTACTTAGGAAGTTAGACTTTCTCCCAGCTGGGGGAAAAAGTGGCTCTGAAGGAGAGGAAGAGGAGAAAACTGAACATTTTGTTTAAGCAACTTAACAACACAACACCAGAGGAAATGAATCAGAAGAGAGTGATTTCTGCAAGCATGTATGTTTTGCTTTAGGAAAACAAAGAGGTTTAAACCCTGGTCTGATGAGAGTCAATAAGGGCCCATGTTTAACTCAGAATGGTAATATGGGGTACTGGTTCAGTTGCTATGGGCAGAGGAAGGTATTTCCAGAAGCATAAAGGGCGGTTAGCTAATCTCTTATCTAGCAGAACCTTCTACGGGTACTTCCCAGGATTCTTTTGTTTGGTGGTTTTTTTTGTTTTATTTCCATAAGAAACAGCCTTCTTATTCCTTACCTCACACCTGAAAACACACAGTTCTCTTCTAATGCCAAATCCTCCAGAAAATTAGGTCACCTGCACCTGATGCAGTGTGGTCTTGTCTTGTTGGCACTTGGCACAATTCCCTGGCTCCTTCCTGCTGTGGGCTTATCCCAGCTCTGGGGAGTCTTAACACAGCTCTAAGCTGTGCCCCTCCAAGGAGCTCTAAAGGACCATCTGGCAGGCAGGGACTTCAGAAGACTGTAAATAAACCCTACTTTTCTTGGACTTGTCCTTTGTGAGGAGGTATGAGGATGTTTCCTTCCTCTCCATTTCCTATGTTAGTGGGATTTGTTCCTCTGGAGGAGACAGAATGGGAGGATGTGCTCCCAGCCCCACACCCAGTGTGGCTTGGGGCAGTCTGGCTGTTGGATGTATAGTCTGTAGATTATTAATAATCTTTTTTTTTTTTTGTTAGATTGCTCATGTGGTTTTGTCTTGTATGTATTTCCAAGCCATCCTGGCCCTTTTTAAAGACAGTTTCCTGGAATAAGCCTTCTGTGGGCTTGAGTGACTGATTCACGATTGCTGTCCTTAGACTAAGACTACTGGTGTTTAATCTTGACCTTTCACAATATGACTGAGAGATGTTTCACACCTCTGGTGGTTTTCCACAGTGCCTTAAGTAGGTACTGACGTTGAACTGGAAATGTTGCTGTTTTCCCTTTCCATTAGCACATCTGAATAATTGACTATCTCCAGGTATTTTGAGACATCAGCTCCTCTTTTCCCCTCCACTCTAAAAAACCTTTCTATTCCCTTATTCCACGTATGTTGGTACTTTCAAGTGGGCTTTCTGGGTTGTCCAAGTCTTTTGTCCGTAAGTAGTGACAGTAGTCAGTGAGTGAAATTCTGGCCTGAACTTCCATAGCTTGTGTCCTACCTGCCTCCCTGCATGTAGTATTTCCTGGTTCCTGACTGTAGGCCTCTGAAAGCAGCAGCTCAATGTTTTGAAGCGGGTCTTTGACCTCTTCTCTTGCATGTTTGGAGTGAGTAGTGTTTTCCTTGCTACAGCCAGGCAGGATGTGTGTCCATACATAGCGTGCAAGTAGGTCAAGGGGAAAGATGTTTTGGGATGTTCTACATTACCTTGTTATTCGAGTCACAACACAAATTCTTGTGTTTTTGTCTCAACCCAATGTAATGGAGCAGCCCAACAGGGGCTGGGCATGGGGGTGATGGGCTGTGATCAAGGGTGATGCCAACACAGGCCATGCAAGAGCTTCTTTCCACAGAGCCCATGGTTGCAGTAGCTGGTGACTGATTTGCCTCTTCTGCCAGGCAGCCAGGGACAGGACAAGAGGAAATTGCCTCAAACTGCACCGGGGAGAGGTTCAGGTTGGACATCAGGAAGGATCTCTACCTGGAAAGGGTTGTCAGACCAAACTGGACTGGGCTGCCCAGGGAGGTGGTGACATCACTGTCAGTGGAGTGTTCCAGAAACGACTGGATGTGGCACTTGGTTTAGTTGACAAGGTGATGTTTGGTCAAAGGTTGGCCTTGATGATCTTGGAGGATCACCTTAGTGATCCTGTGACTATAGCAAGCTCCTCTGACAGACCTAAGCAAGGGGAGATGGTGAGTCAGATCTGGGATATGTCTAGGAGATTCCAGTCAGGAATGGAGTCCAGGAGACTGGACTGGAGATGGACCTACCCAGTGTTGGTAAAAGAACTTTATTTCTTACTTTTTATGCTGGATAAATATTGGCAGCATAGGTCTGGGGCTTTCTGGGGAGCCCAGTTAGTGAGCTAAGATGGAGCAGAAGCCCTAGGGCTGAGGTTTCTGAGGGCCAGAACCTGCTAATAGAGCTCAGAATTGATGGGCTTTTTGTTTTTATGAAAAAGCAGTAACTAGTCAACATAGTGTCATGAAGCATAGTTTGCAGTTTCCTTTTACAAGGTAAAGCATAATTACAATTTTCTCCCTAATCAACAGCCTGTTTTCTGAAAAAGGACACCAAAATGTATTGGTCAGAAAACAGTGAAAGTAATATGACAATTAAGTGTGTGTGTGTGTGTATGAGAAATGAAACAGAAGAATAACAGGAATAAGTGTTTGATCTTTTTGTAGGATGACTGAAAACCATTTTTTTCCAAAATACACAAATTTGGAAAAGTCTGAGAAGGTCCAACAGGGTATTCTATCATTCTAAGCTGTGCGTCCCTTGTCTTATTCTTGTCATGTTCTCATGGATTTCTCTTCAGATCCCTCAGTGAACAGTTGATTAGTGAAGCATCAATTCTGCTATCAAATAAGTAATGCCTCTGAATGTTAATAGACACATCTTCATTTGAAGTGTTATTTCTCTTCAAAAGAACCTTATTAAGAAAATCTAAGTGACAGTTTCTGACACAGGAATAGCAATGTCAAATCTTTGAAATGCTGCTCAAAGGAATCTGTGTTTTGTTCTGGTCTTAGCTTAGCAAAAATGTGAGGAATCAAAATAATTTTTTCACCGTTTTAAAGAGCAAATCCCATCAGGGCTGCCTGTGGATGAAGTGTGCTGCTGTATGGAGTTGGGCCACAATACGCACACTTTATCTCAGTCTTTCTAGACCATTTCAGGATAGGGAGAAGGGGAAGAAGTGGCAAAGATCTAAGTCCTTACTTTAAGCTGTCCCACAACTGAGCACTAGAAATATCTGGTCAAGATATAGGAAAGGCTTTCATTAAAAATATCTGTGGAAAAAGTGGCCTTGACTCTTCGAAAAATCTTTGAAAAGTGTGAGCTAAGGTTACTTCTTGCTGTCAGTTTAGTTGTTTCAGTCATGATCAGAGATGCTAAAACACTATTAAAGAGGTTTCTCAGCTGTATTTCCAGTTCAACTAGAGTTAGGAAATCCTGCAAATCACCTTGGGTGTTCCTGAAACTTCCAGCCCCAAACTGCAGATGCAAAAAAATCTGCATGAGATGAGTTATTTTACAACTTGTGGTACATCATTCTTGGGGGATCCATGAACCCTTTTCTGAGAGGCCATAAAAGATAATTATCATCATGCTTAGGTGCCCTAAACAGACTTGCACTTCTGCTGGAAAAAGTGCAAAGATGCAAAAATGTAAAAACTAAGTCTTGAATGAGTGCTTTGAATATCTCTGTCTACAAGGAACTCATCATGTTGCAAGTTTATCCTCAGTCATAACTTACATATGAAGACAGAACTTGGAGTTTTGTTTCTTGTTATGTATCCCTCTTGTTATGTATCCCTGAGCTTGTTTGCTGACTACTAATAATGGTAATTTTTCCCTAAGTCACTAATTTTGCTTTTTTTCTCTCTGCCTGGGCACTGAGCTTAATTTAAGCTGCTCTATAAAACCTGCTTGAAATTAGCCAGTAAGTTCAAAAGCTGTTGGAGGTGAGAGGGACCCTGTGTGTGTACATGCCCATCCACATGTGTGGATGTGTTAATAAGCTGCTTAAGCTTCATTTCCTTAAGAAACAAAGCTAACAACCCAAGAAAATCAGACTAAAGATTATTTTTTTTAATGGAACAGCTGTAGAAACAGATATTGGATAAGTTAAGCAGTTAATGGTGACTGCAATACATTAACAACCTACATGTCATAAATGCATAATGCTACGTGACCTTTTCACAGATCATAGAATCCTTGTGCTTTGAAGGACGGCTTATTACAGGATGGATGGATGGCAGGGAATAGATCAGAACTGTCTTCTGATAATAGCACTGAAACTATTATTTGCCATGTCAGGTTATGATTTGTGTGTTTGCTCAAAGCATTCATCCGGTTGGGTTTAGGGTTATTTTGACTATGTGTTATCTGAAGTTACTTGCTTTGTGTGCAAGACTGAGAGCTGCAACAATCATAATTATCCATTCTCCTTACAGACTCTGCTTTTAACACGCAAACTTACCATCATATGGCATTAAGTCTGGCAACACCTCATAGGTGTGTTTTACCAACAGATCCACAAAACTGGGATAATTTTAAAGAACTTGGTGGTTTTTTTCACATATGACTGTGTATATAGATGAAAACCATATTTGACTCACTTATAAAATCTTCTGCTAAACTACTTATACTTTAATATTTACTAGTTGGCTCTTTTTTTTTTTTTTTTTTTGCAAGAGGAAGGTCAGTGTTTCTGATTCTTAGTAATGTGTAACTGATGGAATGATAACTTAATTCCCTGCCTCGACCATGAAGGGGATCCCAGGGTGCAAAGCTCTGGGATGGATAAAATCTATTCCACCCCGGGGACAGTCTGCAAGGCATATGCTCCCAAGTTGGTCAACGTTCCCAAATAAAATCTCCCTTGCTATGTGATTTGGGGGAAACTGCCTCGGCTGTCTTTGCAGGGGCTCTGATGATGTGCGTCAGTGGGGAAATTTGAGGAGGTAAATGACCACAGTTCATCAACTCTTCTTTTGCATCGGGTTTGTGATCAGCGGGTGTGCTGCTCCTGATGAGCTGCAAATGTGTACTTAATATTATATTAAGCTGTTAACTCCCAAAGTCAACAGTTTCCCTGGTAAGTTCAGAACACTTAAAACATTGCTCTGTATTTGAAAAAAAAAAGTAGTAATATTTTTTCAGTGCAAAAGAGGCCTTATTAAAACATTTACAGATACTTTTATGATGTCACATTGCTTTCCTAAAACACAGATCAACCATGATGGATGTGTTTGAATGTGTGTCGTCATCCTCCACCCCCTGTAGCCTCCAATTCCTCCTCAAGAGGGGAAAGTGTTTCTGCTTTTCTGGGATCTGGAGAAGGCCCAGGCTTGTAATGCTCTGTTCTAAGCATGACTGGAGCCTGAAGACCTAAAAGAAACATGTGGGGGCTAGTGGGAGCTTGCAAGGAGGGTGAGGGGTTTTGTCTCTTGAGTGTCCCATCTCCTGCCTGTGGAACACCAAGAGGAGAAGACCCTTCAGTGCTTCCTGTAGCAGTCAGCCTGCTTATCCACCTGGGAGGGGAAAATGGGAACACCTCTTCTTGTGTATCACTCTTCCTGTCTTCTCTGTGACAGTGTAAGGGATTTGCCATAGGAACTCTGCTGGGGCTGTTGACTGCTAGTTCTGTGAAAGCTGAATTCCTGCATCTCTGGGTTTAGACTTCATGGCTATGAAGTTCAGTAGACAAGATGCAGTTTGATTCCTGATTCCAGTTACTATCAGTGATTTCTCTGTGGTAGCAACAAGGGCTTGCTGTGGAAATGACAGTGCACTTGCAGCAGGGAATGAGGGGCCTGATCCAAAGCCCACTTTAACTGAGAGAAGTTTCTCTGTTCTCCTCAACATGGGGTGAATTAGGCTCCCAAGTAAATATCAGTTCCCCCCCCCAGCAGCATTCACCTGTTTTAATGCTGCAGGAGGGATTAGTTATAAGCAAATGGTGTTTACCCAAATGCCAGGCTGGCAGTAAATCCTTACATTGGTACAGGAACAGAAGTGTGTGCTCTTACTGTGTGTTGTGCAGAGATGGCAAGTGGTCAAATGGATCTTTGCTGCCTAAATAGTGGGGAAATGGTGAGCAGGAGAATAGTAGATGTGTGCATGTGTGTCCTGGGAATGCACAAGCATTCAGTGTTGCTCTGAGCATCCCAGAGCACTGCCACGCACTGTTTGGTTTGACCCTGGTGTGTAGCAAAAGTGGTGGGTTATGATTCCTCAAGCAGATGTTTAGAGGTCTGCCATAAACTTGGTCAGGACCTCAGATGCTTTAAGGGGGGTGGTAGGAAGGAGGATGGCCCTGACATTACTGTTACACCTGAGCTGGTGTGTCCCAAATAGTGGGTCCTGAGCTCTGGTGGGCTCTGAAGTGGTTCACAGAGGTCCCAGGTTTTTTGGGTGCAGGTACAGCACTACCTGCAGTGAGTCCATGGTGTTCCTGGTCTAATGTGGTGTCACTGAGCTATTGAGGTTTTTTGTTTGGTTTTTTTTTAATAGTGTGACAGTTTGGTAATATAATGTAAAAGAGATGTTTGAGGAGTTTGGGGCTTATCTTTGACCTGGGTTATTTGTCTGGAGTTTGTGGAGAGGGAGAAAGGAAAAAGCATGAACTTCTTGGCTGTCTCTGTGCCACTGAATCATGTGTCTCTTTTTCTAGACTTCTGCAGCAGTTGATTTCTTTCAGGGTAAAAGGGATGAGAACAGGCTGTAATTACTGGCTACAAGTGTTTAAACTAGTGTTAGAATTGCTAAGTGCATTTAATGGATGGTAGGAGCTCAGCACCTACAGGGTTGGGAGAGGGTCAGCTCTTGTATTTGGTGTTTGCAGCTGGTTTTTCTTTCTCCTGTCCCAGCCAGAGCCAGACTGCTGCCCAGGCTGTGTGAAGGTAGCTAAGCCAGAGGTGTCTGAAAGTCTGAGAAATGATGGTCAACCCTACTTGTTCATCTGACATCACAGGCAGGAACAGATCGCTGGGTTTTTAGAAACAGCCCTGATGAGAAACTCATACTCAATGGAAAGATCACTTAGCTAGATAAAATGGGAAATGGTGAATCACATCAGGAGTGGAAGAAGATAAAAATGCTTCCCAGGACACTTGTGCAGTTGAGTGAAAGGAAATCACAGGATGATTAATTCTGCCTCAAGAGAGAAAACAGGGTTATTTCTAAGAATTTGGTAATGTGATGCAGTAATTACATCTATAAACTAGTAGAGGAATGCTGTGCGTTAAGGTCTTTAAATTAAAAGATG